AACAAAATTAATATAATAGGTAGGTACATATGCGCATACCTACATATTATTATTTTATAATATATATTATGTTAAAAATGCTTATTGAAAAAAAAAAGTCATGGGAGATTGCTCCTACTCATCCCGGCTACCACTACCGGTAATTGAACTATATTGATAATATTACTATTGTTATTTTTGTAGTTTATAAAAAAAAACACGTTTTTGTTACTGAAATATTTTTTTCTAAAACTTTGATTATTTGATATTTTTATTTATTTGCATTAAATTTCATGTTGAAAGTTTTAAGTAAGTAGGTATTCAATAATGTCTCATTTATATTTCGTTGTTTGATTATTATCTATACCATCATAATTTCAGCTCGGGTTTCCTACCGTGATGAATTGTTGGATACGCTGTCCCGCCTGGAGCTGATCACCCCCGTTGACGATGAACCTTCATCACCTAAGGCAGATACTACCAATACCAAGTCGATCGTTAGCCAGCATGGAAACCAGCTGTAAATATATCCTGATTTTACATGTTGTTATGGAACCGACTTTCCCACCCTCGTCCATTCGTAACTCAATAATATCGATTAATTATGAATTCTAATGTAATTTTGAAATTTTGAATTCATTATTTTATTTGCAATACTTAAAAACTAAATATTATAAACTAAAAATATTTGTTACATTTATAATTACAATATTTTTACTGAAATATACGTATTTAAAATTGCCGATGAAGGTATTAATATATAGGTATTAATTTTATTTGAAAAATATAAGTATAGGGAAGGTATTATAAATTGAAATCTAAATCCAAATTTCATAATTATAATTTTGGTATACCAACTACCAACTATAGTTTAAAAATCATGCATATAATATAGTATACGTATACATTACACCTGTATGCTAAATAATATTACATACCTACTGGCTACTATACCCGATAACACAGTAGGTATATTATTGTAGGCACAATATATTTTATAATAGGCACAGTAAACTCTCATTATGTCAAGCGTCGACACTCAAGGGAAACAGAAAAAAAGTTCGAGATATTGAGGAACTTTAATATTACTTAATAAGGATTTCAATTGAACTAGGCGTAAAGAACAATTCGACATAACGATATTCGGCATAATGAAAATATACTGTAGGTACTATAATAAATATTATAATATAATATATTGTCTATATTACTATATCTACACTAAAACCGTGAACATGATGAGTTTTTAAACAAAATATTTACTCTTCAGTCTTCACTTGATAGTTATTATTTCATTTAATGCTTGATATTTTCGCCGAGACTGCTTTTCCTTATATTTTATTCAAAGTGTTTTAGTGAAAGAAAATATAAATAAAAATGTTTGTCCATGATTAATTTAATATTTAGCAATGATAATACCTACATAACACATGATATTTTTGAAAAATTATAAAATATTACTATCTTTCAATAAAACATGTTAATGACCATAATATAAACTCAAATAATATAATTTAATGCTGATCTCATTTCCATAACTTATCACCTTATTTATAGGTTAGAAATATTTAATTAATTAAAATATTTGAAGTTATAGGTACCTATATTAATATTATACTATTAACGGTAATTTAAATATACATAGTATAGTTGCTATAGCCTATAATAGGAACTATAAATTACAAATAAACAGGTATTTTTTTTTTATTTTATAACATCAACGCCTGACGGCAATTTCACAAAGATACTAGTAAACAGTAAAAAGATAATATATAAATAAAGACATTTTTTTACAATAACAATAGGTAGGTACTTCAGTTATGTAGGAGTAGTAGAGTAAGTATAAGTAATACAAAGCATTATATTTTAAAAGAAAAAATAATTTTACACAAAATAAACACCGAAACTATTAGGTACGTGGTCTAACAAATATGTCCACTCCCTTTATATACTAAGACTAGAACTCTGGTGTCTAAATGTATTTAATCTAATTTGAATCGGGTCATTACATAAATAGTTTGGTATTACTTATTACTATATTATCATAACATATATATTAAGGTTGTACATATAGTGGTATTTCTGAAAAATTTAAAAATTAAAAAAAAAAATGGGAATGAACATTGTAAAATATTGTATACAAATGAATAGGTATATAATATACATGCATGAGTCTAAAAAAATTAAAGCAAACATAGTTTATAAATTGTCATGGCCTTGAAATAGGCTTCCGTATATTATATTATAATAAATGTTCAATTAAAGGTTGTATAATTGTTATTAATATTTGTTAATAAACAATTCAATCTGGACTTAAGGACCACAGTGGATGGTTGCATTATTTTTGTTAACGTTGGTATGCTAGTATATATTTTCATCTAATTTATTTGTTTTGTTAGTATAATAAAATAACTTGTCGGATCTATAGTGTACATGTTTCTAAGCCATTATTACTGCAAATGATTCATGCTACATGGCCGACTGAAGGTAGAATATTCATTACGGATTATACGTTACCCTATAATAGGATATATTACATACAGTTTATGTCATAAACGATGTGTGCTTAAAATGAATCTTCAAGTTAACTATATTCAATCGGTAAACGTATATTATTTTTGATTTTTTTCTAGAATCATGTTCACAACGAATAATATGAAGCATAGGTATGCGTTTTAATTCGTTTTTATCTATCATACACATAATATTATAGCTTAATCCCGGTTTTCATAGTACACGACGTCTCAATGAATAAAATATAATTCGGTACTTCAGTTCTGACCGGGATAATTTATTATTTTCATAGGTAATCCCCACGTTGGTTAGAAATTATTAAATGTTTTTCCCTATTTTTTTTTTATTTAAATATAATAGACGTATGTATGACAATTCACAATAACATGGGTAAGGAGAGTAAGTAAAAGTAACACTGCTATATAAGATAATATTGTCGTAAGTCATAGGGTGGTAAAATATTGCATACAATAACTAACTGATGACATTGAATGATTTCAGGAAACACCATAAACGTAATAACGAGGTCAATAATCCCGGTAAATCTCAATGCTTTGATGTATTGGGGAGTAAAAATTCTAAGAGATTTCTACCAGGACATGAACGACTCCATAAAGGCACACAAATATGAAAATATTTCAAACCAATGGAGGGAAGCAGTTACGGCAGTGCTGTAGCACGATGAGGTCGGAGCGTGGCTGGACTTTGATTTGATAAACAACATAAACAGGGATTAATTTATCCGACTAATATATCACCGCTCTGGACCGGTTGTTTTGACCAAAATAATACAAATTACTTTGTTTCCAGGGTATTAAAGTATTTAAATAAGACAGAAATAATGGAGAATGAGGATGGTGTACCAACAACCCTGGTGGAATCCGAAGAACAGTGGGATCAACCTAATGCGTGGCCGCCACTTCAGTATATATAGCAGTAATGTCATTAGAGAACACCGGAAATAAATATGCCAAGATCTTGGCTTCCTAAATTGTTGATAAATGGATGTGTACCAACTACTTGGCGTTCAAAAAACACAATGTCAAAATGTATTAAAAAGTAACATGTATGATAAACGTAAGAAAAAGAGATGAAGTAGGTATTCCAAAAGTCACATTCGGCAAAAAATCTAAACCTAAATTAAAATAAAGAACTTTTCTATCAGGCTCTATTTAGTTAGTATCATTCGATACAAAAAGTAAAATACCATCAATAGATATTCTACAATACTTGCTTTAATTTAATGTTAAGAAAACAAAAATGTGAATTCTTACCTTTATGATAAAGAGTAATCAAGAGTACTCAACTAAGAATCAATATCTGATTTAAAAAAAATTAATAATAAAAATTAAGTTGCAACAAAACATGGATATATCATCTTCTTTTAAAAATACTATTATAGGGTTTTTTTCCGATTGTAGTTTGAATCAAGGTGGTCGTCAAATGCATTCTGCTTTTTATATTATAATAGATTATCATTATTATGTTATTTGTTTTTACATTAATTAGTAACTCATTTTATATCATTGCCATTTGAAACGGTTACATAAGTCAGTACTTCAGAGCAGTTTGGTGCTGTTATTTTCCAATTTTCAATCCAGGTGGCGGAATTGTACTTCTGCAAAAATTCCAGGATTATTTCATTTATCCAAAGATATCCATATATCCAAAGCCTTCCTGCATGGCGTACTCGCCACTACTTCTGCCCATCGATCCCATGGTACTGAAAAACACGTGACAAATTAAAATACACGACAACATACGACAATATGATTTATTTAGGGCATAAAATATGAGTCTACAGAAACAGGACTACAGATGCAGTGGTGGGCATTAAAAAAAATTACAGTCTACAAATCACGTGAAAACGAGAAACCCACCCATCAGCTAAACCGCCTTAACCATTTTCAACTATCGTCCTGCAGAGTGCAGACCAATCTATATAATATGTTTGTACACACGTTATAATACCTAGCTACTTTAAGTATTTGTTTTAAATAATTATAATGGTTATGATTGTTGTGAATGATAAATATAAATTCATATTTCATAATCAAAAAGGTCTTAATAAATTAATGTACATTGATAATTAAAATAATATTTTTTATACGGCACAGTATCCTCTTTCCACTTTAAAAATTGTCTTATTATATTTAAGATCCGTTAAGACCATCCCACTCGGACTTACTTTTTCATACATGATGCAGTGTTTTTTAAACGCCAAGTAGTTGGTACGTATCCATTTATCAGCAATTTTGGAAGCGAAAATATTGAAGTCCTATTGCCCGTGCTCTCCAATGCCATGACCGTTATATATATTGAAGCGGCGGCCACGCGTTGGGTTGATTCCACTGTTCCTCAGATTCCACCAGGGTTGTTGGTACACCAGCCTCATTGTTCATTATTTCTGTTTTATTCAAATACTTGAGCACCCTGGACACAAAGTAATTTGTATTGTTTTGGTCGAAACATCCGGTCCAGAATGGTGATACGTTAGTTGGGTAAAATTAATCCTTTTTTATGTTGTTTATCATATAAAAGTCTAGCCACGAGCCGACCTCATCATGCCACATCACTGCCGTTGCTGCGTCTCTCCACTGGTTTAAAATATTTTCACACTTGTACGCCTTTACAGAGTCATTCATGGCTTGGTAGAAACCTCTAAGAATCGTTGCTCCCCAATACATCAAAGCGTTGAGATCCACCGGTATTTTGACCTCGTTTTTACGTTTGTGATGTTTCCTGCAATCATTCAATAACATCAGTAATTTTATGCAAATATAATGTATACAAATGTTGAATTTGGGAATTTTTATCACATCAGTATGTGTACCAGATATTTAAATATGTAATTTGACCTTTTATACTATTTATGAAAAGTATCTTATGGCGATAAAAACTCGTTTCAAATGTAAATGAAACTATTTAACTCTAAATTTTTCGAAGATTAAAAATATTGATGTATCTTAATAACCATTTCTATGTAGATATGTTATAGTATGAGTAGGTTTATTATAGGCAAAAGCTTATACGTATATTGAATACGAGAGATTTTAAAGTAGGTACCTAATTAAATTAAAGGACTAATACCTACTACTTAAAATCATTTTTTTAATAATTTATATCCTTATAAAATATAACTTAAGTATATAAAACTATTGGTAGGTACCATTAAAAACTATCAGTGTCCAATATTTAACCCATAGTTACGGATATTTTAAATATAGGCTATTGTAAATTTATAAATATTATATAATTTACGTTATTAAGTAAATATTATGGTAAATATTATATACTAGCGCCGTTTAAAAGCTTAATACATATATCTTATCTAAATATATTAGGTACATTCATGACCATTATAATGAAGGGGGTAAGTCGTAAGTGCCTCAGAGGCACCAAATTAAAAGCTTTTTAGGTTTTTTAGATATTATTGTTGTTAAGTTTATGATTCAAAAATAATGAACATTTGGTCATTTAAATGTTGAAAAATAATAATATTTGTTAGTTTTCGCAATTCATATTGCCCGGGCACGAGCAATGTGCATTTTACCACCCATTTCCCGTAACATATTATATAATAATGTTGAAAATAAAAAGTACCATGAAGTAGGAAGAGCAGGTGAAAATTAATTCAAAAATCTTAAATACATGAACTCAAAATTAAAAAGGTCGAACAAGAAACCGAAGTTAAGAAATTAGTTAAGAATCGAAGCATTATGTCGACTACTTATCGTAGTACTAATGCGTATGATTAAATTATGATTATAGGTAGGTGCTAATACTGTATACACTCAACGTCAGCATGGGTTCATCAAATGCATTCAGTCTAACTTATACTTACTTCTTTGGATGATATAACCGAAATCATGAAATTACATGTTCACAAATTACATTAATAGGAAATACTGAACTAAACGACGCATGTATATTGAATAATGCGCATACCGAAATATAAATACCGTAGGCGGTCGTGTTGTGCCGATTCAGAGACTTGGCTTTAGACTTAAGTGCCCGGCTTTTGGCACTGAATTATACATTATGTCAAAAGTGGAGCGGCTGCCTACTGGATTTTATTGTAAGGTAGGCGGGTGGGTTGGCCGTGCAGGGTCTACAAGATCATAGGCACGACAATAAGTTTATTCTAATACCTAATAAATATTTGCAACATTTCGATAGAGTTATATCTGTGAAATGAATATATTATACGGATCATGTCATGCCTATAATGGTAGGTACGCGATTCAAGAAATATGTCACGTTTTCCATTGTACGGTTCATTTATAGCTAACTAGTCATTTATCAAGTTTTAAATTTGTTAGATTATTTAGTCTAATATATTACTACAAAAATGTTATGTTGAAATATAGAATGCAAGTTATCTAGCGAAACGGCGGCGATCTAACTGATAAACATGGTTGTTGATATGGAATCGAGAACAATATTATCGTACTACTATAATTTATAAACCAAGTGCAGGTAAATTTATCGTGAGAAAAATTAATTATTTTGAATTTTAAAGCGCGATACAGCACGTCATGGCCACTTGGATGTTGTTTTTTTGTTTTCGAGTATAAGAATTTATATACGACCTTAATATATTTTTCATATAATTCTATTGGAATTTTGACGTATTTACATAAATACGGAGGTATGAACATTTTAAGAGTGTTTGAATATTATCTTTAAATATTTTTTGATAATCTCACGTAGCCCGTGGATAAAATTTAGTACCTATAATACCTAAACACTCAAATTCGTACATACTATTCGGGCTTTCTGCTACAAAACCGTGTAATAAATATATACAAAAACATCATGAACGTTTAATTATATCAACCAAATTCAATACATTAAAAATTAGTTATAATAATTCTATTGTATTACTAGATCTTATAACTTATTAGTCAATACCTGCAGTAGAACCGTGTGAATAATTCCATGGACTTAACAAGCTTAACATAAATTTAAATATTTTGAAAATGTCATTGCAAATAGACAATAGTAAATAATATTATGACATTCTTTTGTACCTATTACTGACTACCTTAAATGCTTGGTAAAAAAAAATCGTGTCTTTAATAATATTTTTAAACTAATATATTTTATAGCAACGTACGAGGAAACTTGTATTATAAAGGGATGGGGGGGGGGATATAAATATTTGGAAATATTTTAAGTTACTACCAATAAAGAAAATCCATTTTGTCAATTTTCAATTTTTAAATCTTAAAAGTACCAACTAGTTTTACTTTCCCAACAGAAAAGATACTTAAGTTGATAATCGAAGCATTATTTCGACTACAACTTATCGCATACACGGACACAAAATAATAAAAAACTAAACATTACACATTATCGTAAGATTAATATTATATTCATTGCTCAAATCAAAATCTAAAATATCATAAATTGTTCTATGAAAGTAATATAATAATAATATAACAAGCCTATATATAATATATAGGGTGTAACAGAAAGAACTGACCAAAAAAAAAAAAATTGATGCTACTTAAGCGTATAACAAAAATTGTTAAATTTATATGATTAGTAAATAGTTTAAGAAATATACCCATGTTAGCGAATTTGTAAAAATAATATTTTTAAAAAAGTTATTGCGTACCAAATTAATTTAATCAAAAAAATATTCATATTTTAAAAAATTCTAAAAAATAAACTACTTGGTTTAGCTAAATATTTTTACCATCTAAATCGTTCTTATAATCAGATTCACAAATTGGCTATTTTGAATTTATTCAAAAAAAAATTAAATGAAATTTTAAATTTTTTATTGAACGTTTCAAATTAGCTAGGTAGGTAACGTATTTATAATTTCTTCAGATGTTATACCTATTGACGTCAAAATGAGCAGCTAGTGGCCATAGAAATAATGTAAAAATATGGGACACTTAAAAAAAAACTAAATAATAAATTGTTTTTGCATATATACCACATATAGGTAGTACTATATTATTAGCCAGTAGGTACCTGGTACACAAAATCAACTTTTTTTAATACTGATGGTTTATACTTGATTAATTAAGATTATGCATAGGTACCTATATTTATATATACTCTACCTAACTAAATATAATTTAATAAAACAAATTATATGCAGCTATATTATGTACAATACAGCTATAATGATGTTAATAAATATTAAATGTTTTTTAGTTGTACAGCATCTACATTTATCGACAATGCAGTATTTTTCAAAACCCATTTATTGCTGAATGTTAAATTCCCTCCTATAAATTATACATTTTGAAAATAGAACTTATAAATCCGTCCGATTTTACATTTTTTTTTTGTGTTTAATTACCTTGAATAATTCATTGTACAGAGGTATATTATACATGTAGTACCAAAACATTCAAAAAGAAAACTATATTTAGTTTAAAAAATATATTTGGAAAATCGAGCTCAATGAAGCATTTAAAACGGGGGTGTATTTATGGGTGTGACTGTGAAAGCTGCAGACCCCCTGTGAAATCTCTGAGAACATGTTTAAAAATTGTTTCATTTATGCATACCATTAGGTACCTACATTATATTTTTTTCAATTATTATACTTTATTATTACTCGGGACTGTGTTTATTTAAAAAAAAATCACCAAAAGCATGTCTGATAAATAACTATATACCAATATACCATAATATACTATATACCTAGTACAACACACTCTTTAGCAAGTGTCGCTAAATTGCAACATATTTGATTTATTATCTTAAACATTTAAGTTAATCCACATTCTTTTGTTTCAGGGTACATAATCATTCAAAAATATCAGTGAAGAGTAACAACTAAATGCGCTACCTATGCGGTAACGATGAATTGAAGATAATAATATAATAATATAGTAAGTACCTATATAGGTGTATTTATAAATATATTATAAATATTATATATTAATTAATATTATAATATTGATAAACACTGTAATAGTATATATTATAGATAAATAGGTAGGTACTATCTATAATCGCACGTGCTTATAACGGAAAAAGTAAAATGTAAAATTACCATTCACCACAACAATGATAATAAAAGGTCATAAAATACTTATGTTGTACAAATTTATTATTATTCTATGATGTGTGCACGGGATATTCTATTGCACATTCCGTGACTCCGAGGAATAAACATTGGACGTAATATTTTTTTTTATATTTGACTCATTATTAATACATTTTAATTATTCAGCTTAAAGTCTGAATGATAATAGGTAGTAGGTGTAGGTACCTCTTTTAAATTTTAAATTTTGTTTTAAATATTAAACAAGTTATATAGGTACGAGTGGAATTTGTTCTTATGAAACCCACATTCTTGACAAACGTTATGATCGTCTAGAGATTAAATTATAAAGAAATTCGTCAATATTACAAAAACAAATTTAATTATTTTTAGTTATTGATGTAATAATGTACCATGTATACAATTTTAGTTTGTGTAGGTAAGGCATTAAAATTGAATACGGATTTCCTCTTTTAGTAGTTATTTCTGGAACCCAAAAATCTAAAATATTATTATTACATAATTTTCTTTTATACCCATTAAATTTGAAATGTTGACATAACAGGATTTTTAAATTAAGAATTACTTATTATTTATTGTAATTTAAAAATATTAATCGATCATGAGGACTTGAAACTTTTACGTAGGTCTTTAATTACATTTGATGATAGATACACAATAAAATTTAAAAATCTTTGGATTAATTTTAAGCTAACTGTTGCCTATTTATCAGGGATGGAAAACGTT